ATCGCGGGGTTCGCGCGATTCTCGCCCGGTCGATTAATCGCGATCGATGCCGAGCTCTAATCGCCCAATCGTTAACCATCGTCGGACCTCGTGTCCCGTCGCGGCCGAAAAGATTGGCGCGGGGGCGTTTCGATATTTCTACGTCGTTACGATGCCATCGAGTTTGGCAGCCGTTGTCGCGATCGCTTCTCGAGGAACGAACGATCCGTGGTTTGGCACACGATCCGCTCGTGCCCGCGAGCGTCTCTCAGCCGGATAATCGCGGCGTTGACGCGATCCGCGCGTCCTTTCATCCCCCCGTCCGCTAGCCTGTCGCGCCGCCCGTCTTTCGCCGCGAAACTTTCCCGGGGAGAAAGTTGCCCGGGTTCAAGTTCGATTCCGCCGCGACCTTTCGGCCGTCGCGTCGATCAATTAACCCAACCCCATTCACCACCTCGCCGTTCATTCGGACGCGACGAGGCCTCGACGTGGAAATTCCGGCGTGTTTACGTGGCCGAGATGCGCGGCCGAATTTCTCGCGTTACTCGGCCGATTTTATTTCGGTTACATCACCGGTTACGAATCAACGAGACGAGCCGATCTTCGATACGCCTTTTGCGCGCGGTACGTCTCTCTGGCGCGCTTCCAAACGGATATCGAAACTACCCGCGTCCGGCTTATCGAACTCTCCGTGATCTATATTCGTTGGACCATCGTGCCGCGACGCGACTCCATCGTTTCGCCACCGTCGTTTTCCTTCGTTCGGACTGATAGCCGAGAGGAGAAAAATCTCGAGAGCACGGCAGATAAGATTTCCAATCGCGCGACGCGGCGACGCGAGTAAACAGTGGCGTCGCGACGGCGCCGGTACCAGCGATTTATCGGATCCGATCCACCGGGTCGATTTACGATCGACTTCGGCTTGAGCTATCGCGTAAATACGAGCAACGAGGTTCTCCTCGCGAGATCTCGCGAGAGGAAGAAGCTTCGTGTTTGGGTTACGGGAATCTTTATTTCCGGAGCTAAAAAAGGAACGGCCCGAGCGATCGAGATCTTTGCCCTCCGCTTCGTTTCGTATTTATCGTCGATGTATTTCCGGCCTTCGACGAGCAGGTTTCCACGAAGCGGGCAATCTCGCGCGGCGCGCTCTCGATGGTGCTTAACCGTCCAAGAGACGAACCACAGGGTGAACGGGAAATAAGAGATATCTCGCGATATTTGTATTCGATGCTGGAAATAAACGCATCTATCCGCTACGTCTGGCTGCGAAGACCTCGCAGTTGCCCAAAACTTTCTCGAATATCCCTCATAGTTTGCCGATAGTTGGAAACTTCTTCCCCCCCCCCCCCCCCCCCACGAATCGTAGAATTAATTTCTCGTCTGCAAACGCTCGCTTGGCAAAGAGTCGCGGTTAGACCTTGACCCGTTGCACCGGTACCGATGGCTAGAAATCGTAGGCTGCTCGCTGTGCCCGAGGATCCTCGAGGCTCCTCGGGAGCCGGGGATCGACGAGCGAGGAGGCGAAGCGGATCGGGTGGATGGGAGCGTGCAGCCGTAGAAGGCGCGACATTGCACGGTCGAAGGGTCGGAATTAGTCGACCCGATTGCCACGAAAGCCGGTTCCTCTGGAGGGAAACGGAACAATGCCAATGTTATTTCGGTCGATGATCGAACGCGTGTGCCACGGTCGGAGAAAAGCGTGCCACCGGATCTCTGCGAAGCCGCCTCGCGAGCCGACCGAATTAGACCGCTGAAAACTTTGCAGCCGTTCCCACTGTTCCTACCGCGACCTTCCGTTCGTTCCACCTGGTGCCAGGTGCGTGGAATCCTCTTCGTCGACCTCTTCTCCATGCGGCTTCCTCGACGGCTCACCGGGCTTTCGTGACCAAGACGCCTCCGATCGACCATTAACCGCTCGATCGATGCTTCCGCGCCAAGATTCGCGGAATCGTAGAGAAATTGCAGAGTGTATCGATATGTCGAGCGTCGACGGCGCAGGCGTCGGCGCGTTTGCGCGAAACGGCTCGGTGCATGCACCCTTTTCGATAACGACTCGTTGACCGAGAATAGCCAGCCGTTTCGCGCTTATTTCCCGACGCTCGCGGCACGGGCATGCTCGTTCGAGACCAAAGTCGAGGGAACCAGCAGCCTCTTAAGAGAAACGGTCAAGAGCAAAGACCCAGGAAGATCGCGGACTCTCGCACCCTTTGCTCGCCCAACGCCGAGGGGTGCTCGCCCCTGCTTCGAGTATTTCCGGCGATGGGTCGCGGCTCCGGTGACCCGAATTCGCGCCATTCATCTTCGCGTTGCAACAGCCCCGCGCTATTTTCGAGATTGCACGACACCGTCTAGCCCGAGCGATCGAGTTGGCCGCTCTCTGCCTCCCATAACTCGACGAGTCTACTCGTCGAGCTTTCGAGATCGCTCGTCGGACTGTCGTCGCTGTTACTGGCGGAGGGAATAGGGGGAAATATCGGCGGAAAATGTGGTCGGACGAGGAAGCGTGATTTTTAAGCGTGGACGATAAATCACGGCGGGAGAAGCGACGATAAATTATCCCGAAGCGGAATTGCGAAATGGCGCGGAGATACGGATCGTGCTACAATCCGAGTGGCACCTCGTGTTTTGTTTTTCGGCGACGACGAGCGATCGGAAGGTAGCCAGCGCGAGCTAGATGCGCGCGAGGAGCGCGATCGCGGGTCAAGCGGAGGCGCGAGAGGCGATTTTTGCGCAGTGGCACGTGAACCGCGACCACGCTACCGAAATAGACAAGGCGGTAAAATTTTACGACGCCGACCCGCTATAACGGCGCGTTGCGTCACTCTTACGCCACAGGCTTTTGTATAAAGGCCGTTTGTATCGCGTGGCCGGCTCAGAACGTCCACCGAAATGATCGACGCGAGCATCGGGGCGCGCTTCTTTCGTCAGGAATATTTACGAGCACGTAATCCCTTGCGAAACTCGCGCGAGTCCTCGCGAGGGTCAGGAGCAGGATGCGTGTACTCTCGGTGTGTATCTTGTCGATTAGAGTATATCGATGGTCGATCATTGGACGGGGTCGAGTGGTCCTCAGTGGCTCGTGTGTGGCTGAGTGTGGCACGCTTCACTTACCGAAACTCGAGACCACCTTTTTCGCCCGTCGTTACCGTCGATGCTGCCGCTGCCGCCGCTCTAGGGGAATTGGATCCTCGATCGCGTGGATCCGTGGATCGAACTAGCGCGGATCGACGGCTCGTGGAGCGCTATCGGGCGAACAGGGGAGAACGGTCGCTCGATTATTCTCGCGGTTTGCTAGGCCTCTTTCGTTCGCCTCCAATTGACTGACTCTAATAAAAGACGGGAACCGTTCTCGGTGTCTGGACACCACGCGCGATCGTGGTGGGAGCTTCGACAAGAAATCAAAATAGATTACCCACCGGCCGCAGGTACGATTAAACGGCGGGTTTCCGGTTGGATGAAAACCAATTCGAACGCGTTACGCGAACGATAAAGACGGTAACGGATCGTGGCAGCTGAGGCTTCGCAGCTCCTCGGATCAACCGCCTTTCTCGATCCGATCGAGAAATTCCCGATCCCTTCGATTCGGATCGAGCGTGTAAAGAGAAAGGGAGAGAGAGAGAGAGAGAGAGAAAGAGAGAAAGAAAAAGAGAGGAGAAACGGCAACGGGTTGTTCGATTATCCCCGTTCGTTGCTGGGAGAGGAGAAAAGGCACGATCGACGCCGGAGCATGGTCGAATCGAGTGACGCTCGGAGGTATTTTCAAACCAGCGAGTAAAGTTATTAGTCATCGGTGGATCGAGATAAAAAGGTCGCGCTTTTGGCCAATTCGCGGCTCTGTAACATAATTCGCATTGCGCAGTGGCCACCAAGCGGTGACCAACACGCTTGTACGATGTTCGGCTTCTATCCTACTCGATTCCTATTTCCGTCCAGCTATATAAAGCCGAAAGCGGCCCAGTTCCCGCGCGACACGCGAGACAACGTCGCGCGATTGCGCGACGCTTAATATCATTATGCTCCAGATATTTTAAGAGCAACCGAATCCTCCGCGATCGGCCGAAATCGACCCCATGGCTCGGCGAAAAATCGATCTCGGTCGAAAAAGAGAGAGAGAGAGAGAGAGAGAGAAATAAGAAATAAAGCAGGGAAAATGGAAGAAGGGAGAAGATCGCGGAACGATGGTTCCAAAATGGCGTAGAAATAATTAACCCGTTTACCGTGCCGTATTTTACTCGACGAGAGTTTATCTGCACGGGTGATCTCGTCAATGTCGGCGATAAATCGCTCGTAAGCTCGAAAACGATGCTCGCGTATGCTTACGCGTAGTAAACCGGCCAGAGCTTGGCACGAACCACGATTTATGCGCACCTTGACAGCTGACTGTGCATTTGGGTCACCGGTGAGATTTCAGGTTTTCTTAATGCGAAAGCAATGCCGCCGATGCAATAAAAACGCTCGGCGAATCGGCGCGGAGCACCTTCGCGAAACAGCGTCTTTCGTCGTCGGATCGCGGCCGTAAATGGGAAAAGAGACCGTCTTTGGTAGGGACCGGATCCACGCAAGCGCGTAACGGTTTTACTATCACGCGCATTCCTGATTTTTCGAAAGTAAATAAAACATACGCCTTTCTTATCTTCCCTCGCGAAGGACTCGACATTTCCCGCGTTGGAATCGAAAGCCCGCGTCGAGATACCGCGCTTCGAAGCATCGATGCCGACGATCGAAGTTGACCGAGCTCTACCGTCGATAAAGGAGATCTCTGTAGATAAAGACGGACTACCACGGGTAAAGTAGCTACGGTCGATCACTGCCTGTTAGCACCGCACGGTAAACGCGTCCGACCAGGCACGGCCGATACTACTTTCCATCGAATTTCGCGGAGATCATTTCGGCGTTTACCTTCCTCGTCTCGAACGTTGCCAATAATCGTCGCGAACGTTTCCATAGGCGAAATTAACGAATAAAGCGGGGTATAAAGGCGAAAATAAAATAAACGGAAATTAAGGAGAAAAATGACTCACCTCGTCGCAAGCGGCGCACCTAGGTTTCAATTGTTCGGCGTAATGCCTCTCGCAGTAGAGGGTGTCGTCGCGAACGCAATAAGCGAGATCGACGAGGAGTTCCTTGCACTCGGTGCACCGAAAACAGGCAGGGTGATACAGAAGGCCCAATTTGGTCGCCGACACGGCCAGGCTGCCGTACTTTAGGGGCGTGTGGCAGGCTCCGCAATTCTAGAATCGATTCGAGTATTCCATCTTCGTTCTTTATCGAACCCTTCGTCGCGATTACGAGAGTCCCAACTTACGAGGTCTCTCTCGGCCACTTCCTGCACGCTGCCGATGTCCAACGCGATCTCGTTCCTCGCGGCCATAAAGTCATCGGCGCTGCTCCAGTGCTCGGAATCCAAGTGGCGACAATAAGCTACGGATAAGTCCTGCTTAGGCAGCTGAATCGCCAACTGCCGGTCCCTGTATCGCTCGCCATGCGTGCCTAGTCTGGGCACGGAGATCACCGGCAGCATGGAGAAGTACTCCTCGACCTGTAAGCAGAGAAACCAAGCGGATGTAGCGCGTGGAGATGCCGGAAATGCGAGTGGGCAGTGCGCGGCGACGAAAAGCGACCAGGATGATAAAGACCGGCTCCCTCTAATTTGTGCCTCAGGGCCGTGGAAAAGAGCGGAAACTGGAAGCTGGCCAGTAACGCTGGCGGGCAAACCGGCTACTCAACCGTGAACCGCGTAATGCCACGTTCTCGAGCATCGTATTATCGTATCTCGTTATTAGAGAGAGTCCGATCCGCCGGCGTAATCGACCAGATAACTCTCCACGATCGTCCAATTTCACGTGTCACGATTGTTTGTTGAATCTCCCCGGCTGCGCGCGTCCATGGAACCGTGGCGGCGGTTCGAACAAGATCGAGAGCAGGAAGCGATTACTGCGTGGGAGAACGAGCAGCAAACGGAAACGATCGCGATTACCCACCTTGTGAGCTGGTAGACCAGGAGGTGCCCAAGCGAGGCCCTTCTCCCTGGGGTCGAAAGCGACCGGCCACGAAGATTCTTCGCCTTTCAGGCCCAAACGAGACTTCACCGACACCCATTCCGCGTGGCACACATTGTGCGCCTCACGGGGGCACTTGCAACTGGTGCAGTTCTTTCTGAAAAGGAGAAAGAATCTCTCAGACACTCGTTACTTTGCACGATCATGCATCATTCACGATATACTCGGAATTTCTCGTGGCCGAGAGCCTGAGAGGCAAGATTAATGTCCTCTCCCGTTTAGGAAACTGCCTTAGTTTCGCGACCGAGCGGATGTGGGCCGGACACCGATGCCTCGGCCGGGGACGCGTCTATTAAACCGAGGATGCCACGGACGCTAAATATTTGTCTCCGGTCTTTCATTAACTCCGGATACGCCTCGATGCCTCGATAGAACCTCTAATCGAGTTTTATTGCGCTCCAACGCCAAGCGCTTCAACATCTGCCTTCTTCCCCCCTCGTTCGCCATTTCCCCATCGCTGTCCCCATTTTACACCATCCCCGTATCCCCCATCTTCCATTTCGCGACCAAGAAACGCGTCCCCTGGCCGACTCTCCAACTCCTCCTTTTCAGACACTTGCCGAAGCGCGTGTACTCCTACATGCTCGTGGAAAAGTTTCGCTTGGCGTTTCAGATCGGAGGAACGTGGCAAAAGCTCGCGATTGCTACTCCTGCCAGCACCCACGCGACACACGCTAATGGCTCGATCGAACGTCGATCGTGTAATCAAGGGGATGCATTTGCCCCGTTGCCGGCATTCATCGCCGCTCAACCGCACCCTTCCGGACATGTCAACCGCAAGGTCGTCGCGGTGCTAATACGAGCCTCCCTTTTCTACCACCCTTGCTGCCTCCCTGTCCTCCACCTCGATCGCGTCACGATAGCTTTCGTGCGGGGTAAGTCGAACGAAGAAAATCCCTTATCCGTGCTCGTAAATTCCGTAGAATCCGGGACCAGCGGAACGCGCGAGGATCGACGCGGAGGAACGTGCTCGTTACGTTTAACAGTGTCATGGCGGTCGCGTTAATAACGTACCACCGTGAAATCGAGCTGGATAGGTGCGCGATTTCAGGGGCCAGGGGGGGGGGGGGACCTCGACCGCAGCTTGACATTATTTTCGCATTATTTTGGCGTTATTTTGGTCGAGCGGATCGAGGACCCTCGAACAGGTTCGTAAATCCTTGGGGCGAACGTGGACCGCGATTGCTACGACTTGGATCGAGAGCTGGCGAAAGGTCGCGCCGCTTCTCTCAGCTCGGGGACGAGCTCGCGGAACCTTTCGGGGACGATCCTCGCGGGTACGCGGGCGGAACGCTTGCCGTAATGTCGCGAGCATAATGTCAGAGCGGCCAGCTCGTTTGCCAGCGGTAACTCGCGAGCAGCCTTTGAGCGATATAGAGTTCGCCTTTCGGCGTGCTCGTTAAGAAGGGCGCGATGACGCGAATCTCCACCCGCTTCGCGGCCACGCTCTCCAGATATTATACGAGTCTCGTGGACGCGTCCTGGCACCGGAGGGTGGATGCAAATTAGCGTTGACGCCTCGTTAACTCGGCCAACGTGAAACGTAATACTCGCATGTGGACCATAATTCATTCGAATTCATGGCCCGCTGTCCTAGAGCCGTTTCGACTCGTTCTCCAGCGATACGCTCGTTTCCCTTCGCGCGTGCCAATGGCCGCTGACACCGATTCGATCGCGAGTCCCATTACTCTGCGGGACACGCGTCAACGGGGAAAAGTTTGCACGTAAAACTTGGTACACTTGTACCGTGTATCTCGTTTCGGGGTACAACGTGTCACGGATCCGCTTTCCCCCGCGCGCGAGTCGTGGAAAATTAGGCTGAATTTGAGCGATCGCGTCACGTTGCAATTAAATCTCGCTGAGAGCGATCAAAGCGCGGAGTTGGGACGGATCGAACGGGTACCGTGGTCGTAAAAATTTCCGTAATTTACGAGGTCCCACACGCGTGGCTATTTGCGTGCTTTGCGCCGACCGGAGACTATACCGCGCGATTAATTCCGCGGACGATATATAAACCGAGCGATTTGTCCCGACATTCCACGATGGGTGGTATACACGCGTAACGCTTGTAAGCGGCGCTGTTGGAGTGGGGAAAAAACGTAAAGCTCGAAGGGGACCTCGACTTATATTAATGCGACGCCGCGTCGCGAGAGAAGAAACGTCGGCGGGTAGAATTGCCCTGGAATCGGCCGGGTGCGAGTTTATAATTGCCAGCGTCGGCTGACGTCGCGGCGCGAAGGGATGCGCGAGGCATGGCTCGTTAAACGACGCTAATTCGATTTGCGCGCGTCTCCGATCGAAGGAGCCTGCATTTCTACGGCGTCTCGCGAGTCACCGGGGAAGGTGCACGCGTGAAATCTGCAAAAGCGAAAGACCGCGTTGCGTGAAACGCTCGTCGACGCGCGACTTTCTAGCTGCTCTCTGCCGTGAAACGGACCAACGACGGCCCATTGGGCCCGATAGCGACCGCTTGCCAATCCCGGCTAATTATATTTGCGCTACGCCCCGGCGCTAATGGACCTCTAGAATTTTAATTGGACGGGATCTTATCGCGTAAACACCTCGTCTCGGAATTGTTCGACCAAGGTGTCGGGGACAGGCTTTGCACGGGGACGATCTATCAATCGCGATGGCACGTGTCTGGGAGGAGCAAACATTAACCGTAGCATCGTTAGACGCGACAGCCTGGTTCGAAGGGATATCCCTTAGGGCGCCAACGCGTAGCTCTCTCTCTCTCTCTCTCTCCCTCCCCCTCTCTCTCTCTGTTTGTCTGTAAGACGAGGAGTAAAACTGGCGATAAACCGGATAAGAACGGAGCTGTCGCGAAAGGCTGAATTCAGCAGAATCCGGTCGCGATAAAACCTGAATTCGGTACGTTCTAACCCCGGCTAAATCCAAACCCGATAGAACAGGTTTACCGCGTAATCCAGTCGAAGCAAACTCGTTTCCAGAAACCGACTTTGCTGGTCAATTACCTAACTATCAGCTCGAACAGCTCGAACTGGTCGAACACCTTACAGTACAGATGCAACACCCTGACGCAGGCCCACTTCATGCCGGGCCAGCGTGCCAGGCTGAGATCCAGCCCATCCTTCAGAGGACACTTGCCGATGGCGAGGCTTCGTTTCAATTCCGCGCCGGAGATGGTGGGAAATCGATTCTTCCGATATCCGCCGGGGATCAATCCTCTCTTGATCTCGGCGCCGGACAGCGTCGGGTACCTGTCCCGACGGTCCAACGACGCCGTCTTCCTGTACAGGTCCTTCTCTGGCACGGAGGGACACCTGGCGCGCATGGGATCGTGAAACGGTGGACTCGTGGGTCTCTTGGCGGGTTCCGGGATCTTCACCCTGATCCCCTGAGGCTCGGCGCCAGGCGTCGGTACGCAGCTCACCCTCACCTCCATCTTCTGGCCCTCCTGGCTCGGTCCCTTCGGACTCATCCTGGGACCCGAGCTCGAGAGCAACGTCGGCGTCGTGTGACGCCTCTGAAGTTTGTCGTTCAGGATGAATCGTTTCGTTCTCCACCTTCGATCCTCATCGTACCAGCTTCTCCGGGACTCTGAGCTTTTTTAGCCTCAGCTACAACACCTCTTGCGCCTAGTTTGCCCAGTGTCTAGGATGATTAATTAAAGACAGGCGAAGGCTTTCCCGCTGCTTCGCGTAATTGCCGCACACAGGTGCACCGGGCTTTCGTCCCGAGTATGAGTCACCGAGACATCGCGACGATCGCCGTTCCGCCGAGCGGTGATGGAGAAACGACGCGTCTGCACGCGCGATGATCTCTCTGGAATTTCTGGAAAATCACGCGCCAGGGTACTTTCACCGGGCAGAAAAACCAATCGCGAAACGACCGAAAGCGGCGCGGATGATCGAACGCTCCTCTCGCGTCAGTCCATTCTCTCTCTGCTCTACCCCTCGCGGAGAAATCTCGCGCGCGAGTTTATAATTCCATCCGAATGGAGGACGATTCGTTTCGTCATCGACGAACGCCCGGCTGTCGTCGGAAAAATTATTACGCCTAGACGCCGACCGACAGACCCGCGCGCGCGCCCGAATTTATTTTCATTGCGGAAATCGCCACGGTTCGCGAAGTCGCGCGGTTATTTATAGGGAAGATGATCCTCCGGCTTAGCCGCGCGTGCCGCTCGCGCGAGAAATCGTCCGATCGAGGACTCCTCCATCGACTTTGACCGCGAATTGCTCGCGAAATCCTCCGATCGAGGACTCTTCCATTCGACTTTGGCTCATCCTTGACAACGAGTCACACGCAGCCTTCTTCGCGATCTTCGACGTATCTGCGAGCTCGACGGAATCTATCTGCCCTCGAAATCCCTTTTTCACGCCTAGACATTTCGCCAGGTATCGATGACGATTGCGATAATAATTGGAGGAAACCTTGAGGACGCGTTGGCGTTTCCGCTCGACGCTCGTGCCCCTCCGCGACGAGCTAATAGAATCCGAGTGCTATACGCTGTCGCGACGAGATAATCCGCACGAATCTAACGTGTAAGATAACGGGACGAGCGTAGGGAAGAAAGAAGGACGAAAGGGACCGCGCTGCTATCGACCCACTCGCTTTCCGAGGAGACCGAATGGGAATCCTCGCGGAGACTCGTCGCTGATCCCACGCTTTTCGCCTCGGAAACGTACGTGGAAACGTCGAGTGCTCGTTCGATTCCAGATTTCTCACCGGGAAGGCCAGCCACCGCGACAGGGGTCTCTGTTGGGAGAGCGATTAATCAATTATCCCGGATCGGAACCGTCTCGAGGAAGACTCGGTTGTAACAACATATCGACACGAATTGGATCGCTGGCCGCCCATTTTGTACCTCCGACGTATAAATAACGCGTTAGACAGCCGGACAGCGAGGAACCGCGTACGAGCTTGCAGCGCGCGCGATCGGGTTGACGTAAGCGAGGAGGAAGGAGCTAATAACGTTCGACGCGCGCGTACGGTATACTGTATCGGACGTTAATGGCTCGATATAATCACGGCCCGACGAGCATCTTTCTTCCATTTCTGAAATGGCTTTACCTGGAAGCCGGCTATTCCGTCACAGGTGAATCATGGCGAGCGCGCACGAGCGTGGCAGGG